CACCCTGCAATTAGATGCTTTGTGGAGGTGAAAGTAGCAAGCAGTTAACAAGGAAACGCATCACAGCATCTGCGTGCAGTCAATGCCCCGAGCAGAAAGGGCAGGGAGGACCTCAAAGGTAAGCATCTCAGCCCGGTTATTGGAGCCCATCTATGTAACCAGGAAAGACACGTGCAAAAGCGCAGATATCTTCAAACTGTATTGCTTCAGGATGTATGGGGGCAGGAGTTAAATCAACATCCTCATCCTCCTCTTAGAACTGCAGAGCTGCAAGGGACCGTATGGATCATTAAGGAGGCACAGTGGGGGAATTGAACTGCCAACCTCAAGCTCCTCAGCCAGATACCTAGGCTACTGAGCTCTCCCAAATGTCACAATGCTTTGGGAGTCAAACCAAACCTTTGCATGTGAGGATGAAGGTGAGGTTGGACCACTTTGCCCTAGTAAAGACACCTTCCATGGGTGACGGTAAAGGTTCTTTGCTTGCTTGCTTTCACTTTAACATTTGAGCACTGGGAGGGGGACACTGGTAGGATGCCTCTGGCAGACCCATCTAGCCACAGCTGAGGATCCTAGGAGACTAAGGTGGCCTAGGATGGCAGCATGGCCACCTTGTTAGGGGAGGTAGTGGTTCAAAATGTAAGAATCCAAAGGGAGGCACTCCATGGAAATGCCAGAAGAAGCCCCAGAGGGTTCACATGAGCCCCCCCGACTTGGGAATGCCCACTAGAGGAAGCGGAGCAGACAAAGGAGGGTTGGGATGTACAGGATATAAAGAAGGCATTGGGGGAGTCAGAGGGAACAAGAGAAAAAGCAGACCCACTGCTCTCGGAGGAGGAAGGAGGGACCTGGGGAGATGCTGAGGAAGCACAGGGAGAGGAGACATGGAGGAAAGGCCAGAAATACTAGAGACGTGTGTTGACATGATTAAGAAAGACTCTTGAACTGGGTCCCTGGTCAAAGGTAAGGTACCCAAATAAGGTGGGTGCAAAGCACCCATATCCCAACCATCACCTCACCCACACTGTTGGGCAGAAAAGAGGGCAGAGGCAGAGACTTTGACCATCATTCGGGAAAAGCCTGGAAGAGCCAACACCAACTCCAGTTCTGACACTGGAGGGAAAGGTGACAGAAGGAATGGGGGTCTGTGTGGCTTCAGGAGAAGCAGCCTCAGCCAACAATCCCCAACTCTCCCCTCATCCAGGCCCCAAGTGCAACACGTGCCCTGCCTCACTGCGGATGTCTAAGCCCTTGCTTTTACAGGCCACAGGGTTCATAAGTTCTTGGTACTTGCCCACAAAGAAAACTGTGGACTCTGGCTCCCCCAGTGTGGTGAACTGGAGGAGTAGAACAAAGCTGGACTCAGTTGGGGAGAGTGAGCCTAACCAGGCCTGAGGAAAGAACTTCTTTGTAATAAACCATGTTTGGTACAAACCACCTTGTGCCAAGTTCATGGATCCAGCCCATTGGGGTTGACAGCATTCAATCCTGTATCTCCCAAGGATTCAGAAACGACACGATTCTACAATCTCTGTGCCAGATGCTGCATCCACTGGATTCTGACATCACATTTAATGATGGGTTATCTCATGATGGGAATGGACTTTACATTCTAGAGCTTCCTTCCTTCCTCGGATGTAGTTCCATAGAGTTCAGCAGCTTCCATTTTACATTAACCCAGTTTGTCAGATCATTTAAATCCAACTGTCTGTGGTTGACCTGAATCATAATTAATGGAAAACACCATTTTAAAATCACGGCTTAACAATATGGCTTCTTTCCACCAAATACAGTGAATATTAGGGTTCACACATGACATTGAACTGCAGCTCGTCCATCTCTTTATGACAGCACCAGAAGAGAGGAAGAGGAGTGTGTTAACTCCTCTTCCCTTCCTGTGACTCATTTTATTTGTAGTATGTTATGGTTCAATGGCCATCTCATGAGAAGAGAAGATTCCCTGGAAAAGACCCTGATGTTAGGAAAGAGTGAAGGCAAAAGAAGAAGGGGACGACAGAGGACAAGATGGATGGACAGGGTCACTGAAGCTACGAGAATGAATTTGACCCAACTCCGGGAGGCAATGGAAGACAGGAGGGCCTGGCGTGCTCTCGTCCATGGGGTCACGAAGAGCCGGACACGACTAAATGACTAAACAACAACAAAAATGGTTCAATGACCAAATGGAGCTCCTTATTAATGTTGGGCAATATCTTTGCATGTTATCTTCATGTGAGAAAAAAACATTAAGAGAACTACACCCCTCTGTTTCGCCCTGTAGCTCATATACTGCTTATAGGAATCGTGTTCTGTTCAAACTCTCACCATTTTCTGGACCTTGGCTGAATAAAGGCCTTAATGGTCAATTCCCAAAGGGACAGACCCTAAAGAAACCTCAAGGGATGAAGGAACGTGTGGAGGAGGGAGCCTTTTTGCACGCTTGGTGTGTTGCTGGGGAGGGAAGTGGGAGATATTTGCCCTGAGACTCCTATTCCTGCTCAAGATCTATCTGCAGAATGTCAGCTGCCTTGCAGGAGTTTTGAGCAAAGCAGAAAGGGCTGCTTTATGATCGCACCCATCCCCTCCCTGTTAAAAAGAGGGAAATTATCTGCGGAGTCTAGCAATATCTTTATTAAAAATGCATTTAGCTCTGGAGCCCTACGAAAGAGAGACCTGTAATACATGAAAGATTAGCCCCGGATTGCTGATTGGACTATTTCACATCATTATGGTAATTAGGGCTTGCAAGCCTGTTGTGCTGACATTAACACTTTCCCCTGTACGCCTTGCCTTTTGTATTGGATTTAAGGTGGGTCATCTCCCCTCCTTCCTACTGAATTCTCGGGCTGCTTGCTTTCCATTGAAGGCCCCGCTTTTCCTTCTGCACCAGGCATTCGCTTCATGAATATGGCTCATGGATCCATTCTGAATCCCTACACGCTCTGCCCCCCACTCACCATCCCTCGTCTTTCTGCCCCAGCTTAGTCTCTGCCAAACTCAGCCCACCTCACACAGAGGAGAGGGGAAGAAATTAATGGTAATTACAAGGTGCCGGTGGATATTACAGCTCTCAATCTGATTGCCAGTAAAAACCAAATAAAAGCAGAACTTAATCAGCCAATTACATAAGCAGAGAATAAACAAGGCAAGACATTTTGTTTGCCCTTGACACTTCTTTCTGGTGTTTTCCAGCCTGCTCGGTCCTTCTCCCCACCACCTTTTTATCCTTCTTGCCTCGAGAAACGTACAGTACATGTTTGAGAGACAGGCAACATCCTCTGTCAATTTTCATTCCCTTCCCCTGCTGATTGTTGGTAAACCACCATTAAATATGCTTCAGCAATCCTTATTTTTCTCAAAGTTGTTAAGTATCTCTGCTTTCTGCCCGTCCCTACCTGTTCCACTTTTGCCCCTCTTATGCCTTAGGGGCAGGAGAGGATAATATGGGGAAGTGTTTTAAAACATGATCAGCACAAACAGCTGGATCTTCCATTTAGAGGGTTTTAGCTTCTTTTTCAGAACTTCTCCAGGCTAACTTCCCATGCAGAAAACAGGTGTGTGTTATTCACAGTGCCCACATCTTTACACGTGAACATATGACTGCTAAGACATCATCTAGCTTGGCATTGCCCAACTTGGTGCTTTCCAGATAGCTTGGGGTGCAGCTCTCAGAAATCCTCACCGTGAACTGTCTTGGCTTGGACTAAATGGAGATGAAACATCTGGTGAATACCAGGTTTGGGGGGTGGAGGGGTTGGTACAGCATGTAACCGTTTGTTGTGCATCTTGGCAAAAGTACAGATCCTGGCTCCCTTCCTTTAAACAAGTGCGGAATGAATGCAAGACTTCTTGCAAAAGCCACAGACACTGATAGGGTAAGCCATGGTGCCCTCCACCTGAGTTGGAGGAGAAATGCCCCCCTTACTCATTCCAACCATCATATTTTAGTTTTGTCCCTTTAATCCAGTGATGGTGAGCCTTTTTTGAGCCCGAGTGCCCAAACTGCAACACAAAATCAACTTATTTATTTCAAAGTGCCAATACTGCAATTGAAACCCAAATGCTGAAGTTTTAGTTTAGAAAAAACAAACAACTGCTCTTATACTGCAAGGGTTAAATGCTTGTTCCACCCCCCCCCAATGGGCGGTATTAACAAATAAATACTTACTGGTCCTCCAATCCCCCATTGGGCTAGGCCGGTAATGGTCGCCATTGCACCCTCTGCTGGACCCCTGCACCAGCAGAGGGGAGTGCCGAAATCCGGGATCGGACGACAGGTAAGTATTTCTCTATGGTGACTTATGGCCTGTGTGCCCACAGAGAGGGTTCTGTGTGCCAGCTGTGGCACGCGTGCCATAGGTTCGCCATCTCTGCTTTAATCCATAGCAGAGGATCCCAACCATTTTCTGAGAAAGAAGGGTAAAGGAACACACCTTTTGGGTTTAGAGCGGCCCAAACATAAACCCTGATCCTACTGATAGGAGTGACTAAGAAATAAGTTTGAGTCTGCCTTCTACATAGCCACATTTGGGGCTTTGATTTTTATCTGTAGCAGAGCATGAGAATCCAGAACTACCACAACAACTAAAATTACTACCACAACAACATTCTGCTGCAACAGCAATAATACAATAACCATCTTCTTTTGACTGCATTTAGTCATACGGTCACCACTCAGAGCCAATTACCCTGAAACTGTTAACAACCAGCCCTTCTTCCTCTTCCCTTTACATCTCCTTCCCTTGATTTTCACTTCACTCCCTATCCTTCAAGTCCGCATAACCTTTCCATCTTAAATTTCAGATGGTGCCATTGGCAGTCTGGAGGCTCTTCAGGCACATTCAGACATTGCAATTTTAAATAACAGCCTGTAACATTTACAATTTCATCTTCCTTTTCTGTTCCTCCCCGCACATGTATCAATGCAGCTATTTTCATCTCCTCCCTTCTCTCTATTCATCCATCTATCTATGTATCCCCCTGGCATGTTCCTTAATTACCTGCCCATTAGGTTCGCTCGCTTCCCAGCTGCACATTTTATCCTCTCTCTGATTACTGTAGAGAATTAGCTTTTTACTAAGCAAAAGACCATAGAGGAAAGTGTGTATGTAATTCTCAGAGCATCTCTGAGGAGGAGGAGGAGGATGGGACATCTCCTGGCACACTTAAGAGATCCTCGTCTTGTTCCCACTCGTGGGAAGAAAGATCTGATTAACAAGGAAAAAAAACAAGTACAGCAGGATGTAGGGATGTAACCTTGTTACCATCCTTTGGGGATCTTGCTGTGACACAATTCCATCTTTGCCTCTACATTTACAGCAAAGAAAAATTGTTAGTGCCAGCCTTAGACTTTTTTTTTTTAAGCAAAAACTTTAGGCAAAAATCTATTTCCTGCCTCTGCTACTTATTCTTTATATATTTTCTCTTTCAATGACACACAGAGGGCCTGTTGTTGTAGGCAGGGAAATGATTGTGTTGAACCTGCAGCCAACATGTCCACACAGCTAAGACTGGGAGTGGGCAGCTTGTAGCCTCTAGATCAGTGGTTCCCAACCTTGAGCCTGCGGAGATTGCAGAACTAAAACTCCCAGGAGCCTTCACCACTAGCTTTCCTGGCCTGGATTTCTGAGAGTTGTAGTCCAAGAACATCTGGGGACCCAAGGTTAGGAACCATGGCTCTAGATGTTGCTGGACTTCCATCCCAGATGTCTCAACATTGTAAAACAACCAAACCACAGCCTTGCACATAGAAGAGCAGCATTTTTGGATAACCATTTGGTCTCATCCTGGATAAGGAGCTATCTTGTTGGAATTATTGTACAATTGCATGTTGCCTTTAAGGCTGGGAGGAATCCATCTGGACTGGGATGACTATCAATCAGTCCAGTAGCAGCCAACTGTTTCCCCTGTGCCTCAGAATTTTGAAGAGAGCCATGCCTCTCTAGTCAAGTCTTCTTTTCCTGCCATTTTTCCAGTCAGGAGTCAGAAGTCATTGAGCTATGTAGTTTGTTTGTTTGTTTGTTTGTTTGTTTGTTTGTTTGTTTGTTTGGAAGAGAGCCATGCCTCTCTAGTCAAGTCTTCTTTTCCTATCATTTTTCCAGTCAGGAGTCAGAGGTCAGTGAACTATGTAGTCCGAAGACAAAGTTCTGTATTCAATCAGTCAGCAAGTCATGTAGTTAGTCATGAAGCTGTTTGTTTGTTTGTTTGTTTGTTTGTTTGTTTGTTTGTTTGTTTGGTTGGTTGGTTGGTTGGTTGGTTGGTTGGTTGGTTGGTTGGTTGGTTGGTTGGTTGGTTGACTTTTATAAGGGACTGTCACTCGCGTGTTGGCCTTCTCAGCCACACTAGACACTGTTCCAAGACCTCTATTCAGAGCAAGTTACCATAGTCTCTTGAAACTGAAGGATGCCTACAAGTCACTTTTATACCACCCACCTGTCTGTCAGGGCCACTCAGGGCAGTTTACAACTGAAAAAAACAGATAAACAATAATAGGAGACAATAAACACAATAACAAGCAAAATCAAAATCAAACAGCAACTAAACGTAAACTAGCAACAAAGTAAAAATTAAACTGTAATAGAATACCTGTAGTTTAAAGGCAGGATGGTAGAACAGGAAGTATAAAATGCTGAAACTAACACTGTGTTAAGATGTTGAGTATTCTGGGAAAGCCTGCCTGAAAAACCATGATCGCGTAAAGCTTCCACGTGAAGGGGTCAGGGCAAATTTGAGGCAGGAGATCATTCCAAAGATGAGGGGTGACTGCCGAGAAGGCCCAGTCTTCTCCTTCCAGGCCTCTCTCAGGGTCAAAATTCTCAACCATCTGGTCTGGGAAAATAGTGTAGAATCAGCAGATCAGATTGGAAGGAGGCATTCTGCCATGTATCGAGGTTCCAAACTGTTTAGGGCTTTGCAGGTCAGCATCATCACCATGAAACTGGTATGCAAATGAACAAGTAGCCAGTGCAAGGTGGCAAGAGTAGGGGAAATATGATGGTGCTTCTTCATCCCAGCCAATAATCTGGCTGCCATATTTTGGACCATATTCAGTTAAGCTCTGTTGCTGTATCTCAGTTAATATATTTTTTTCTGCACAATGCTTTTTGCTTTGATCTATGAAGAACTGTGAGTAAAAAGAACATTTTATTCTTTCTCTTATCAAGGTCTCTGAGTGAGCTATTGAAACAGTAAATGCCAATTAAGGAGAATTAAGCAATAAAAGGTAGTCTACTGAGGAGAGACTTGAAGCTAATTCTTCTCTATAAGAATTTTTCTGCTGTGTAATTAGAATTTTTTAACCCAATTAATTTCCGCACATTGCTGATATACCCAACGTGGAGGGGTGTGTTTAAATATATAAGGACTCCACCCCCATAAGCAACCTAGGGTTGCCATATGCAGAAACAAAACAAAACAAAATGTTGCATATATTGTCATATGAAGCATCTCTTAAATACATTCTGTCTGTTCACTGCTTCCCTGAGCATCTGCTTGACTTAAAGAGCAATTGTATCTCCCCATGGACAGCAGATGGATTTGTCATAACACTCTGGTACAGCAAAAGGGAAAGGGGGACAGGTGGGGCCTCCTCCATTCCCTCAGAGTGACAAGCTATCACGTTAAATGTGCTGTTGCATTTAACACTCAGGTGTTTGTTGTTGTTTCTTTTTTAAAAAAAATTAATAGTGCATTGATAATGCTCAGAATTGCATCAGGAGTGAAGGAAGATTTCAATCTTTTCTTCCTCTGCTTGAGTCCTGAAAAGAAGAAGGAGGGGAAAAAAACTGGTGTTTGCTTTTGAGATGAGGAATCATTTAGGATTCCAGCAGGAGAGGAAGGGATACAATTTCCCATACCACGCTTGCCATGATTCTGCTAATTATTCCCTCCATGACGCTTTCTATATCAAAACACACACAAATAGACCAACTGCAGGTTAAATAGAAGGCCCCATTTCTTCACACAGTGCACTCTACTTTTCCATACAACACATCATTACTCTGGAATTCACTCCCATAAGATGTTGTGTTGCCTAACAACATGGATATATCCATGGAAGCTAGACAGAGAGTCCATAGGCAACTGCTTAGTCACCATAGAGTCAGAATGCAGGGCTAGAGAAGCCTTTGATCTGATCCACCAAGGCTTTTTAAGGTTCTTGCCTAACATGCACTAGTGTTTCACAGGCAGGCGGGTCCAATCAAGAATGCCAGACCCTCCCTGAAGGGCCTGTCAGAGCCACCTAAACCCTGAATTTATCCCTGACTTACTTATTTTAGCTAGAAGTGTGTTCTTCTCCACCAAAGTTTGGGTATGGATATGATTCATTTGGGGCTTGTCCAGACTGACCATTTTGGTGTGGGCCGAATCGGGCTATAAAGGGTTAGCTCGTGGTTGGCAGGGGAGGGGGAGAGAAGCCATGTGCCATTGGACAGGCTTCTCCCATCCAAACAGCAAACAGCCCCTTGTAGACCCATCAACTGTCAATTAAATACTATCTATCTATCTATCTATCTATCTATCTATCTATCTATCTATCTATCTATCTATCTATCTATCTATCTATCTATCTATCTATCTATCTATCTATCTATCTATCTATCTATTTATTTATTTATTTATTTATTTGACTTACATGCCGCCCACTCTACCCAAAGGTCTCTGGGCGGCTTACAACAATTAAAATACAATACAAATACAATAAAAATGTAAAACAATTAAAATATAATTAAAATAGATACTCTAAAAATTGCCCATCAGGACCCACTGTTGATATTATTTCAATTAAAAAGCCTTCTGGAACAGGAAGGTTTTGACCTGGCAACAAAATGTCATGAGCGTTGGCGCCAGACGAATCTCAGTTGGGGGAGCATTCCATAGTCTGGGGGCAGCTGCCGAAAAGGCCCTTTGTCTACAAGCCATCCCTCTTACTTCCTTGAGGGACGGCACTTTCAAAAGGGCCCCTTGGCTAGATCTTAACTGCCAGATAGGCTCACATGGAAGGAGGTGGTCCTTCAGGTATCCAGGGCCCAAGCCGTTTAGGGCTTTATAAGTCAAAACAAGCACTTTGAATTGGGCCCAGGCAGCAACTGGTAACCAATGTAATTTAATCAGAATCGGCTTGATATGTCCCCTAGCGGCCCCACCACTCACCAGCCACGCAGCTCGATTCTGGACCAGTTGCAGTCGCCAGACTGTCTTCAAAGGCAGCCCCACGTAGAGCGCATTGCAATAATCTATATGAGATATTACCAGTGCGTGTGTAACTGTCATGAGACTCCACTCGTCCAGCTAGGGCCATAGCTGGTACAATTTCCGCAGCTGAAGGAAGGCGCCCCTGGCCACCTATTCCACCTGGGCTTCCAGAGTTAGACTGGGGTCCAGGAGCACTCCCAGGCTGTGGACCCTGTCCCTTAGGGGGAGTGTAACCCCATTCAGGGCAGGGAAATGGCCCTCCAGCCTGTCCGGCGAAGCACTCACTAACAGTACTTCCATCTTGTCTGGATTGAGTTTCAGTTTATTAACCCTCATCCAGTCCATTATCAGTTCCAGACACGAGTTCAGCACAGAAATCGCCTCACCTGGATTGATGGAAAACGAGAGGTAGAACTGAGTGTCTTCAGCATATTGCTGACTCCTGAGCCCAAACCTCCCAATGACCTCTCCAAGCGGTTTCATGATGTTAAACAGTATGGGGGACAGTATCGAGTCCTGAGGAACCCCATGACATAAATGCCATGGGGCAGAGCAACTGTCCTCCAGCACCACCCTCTGGACACTGTCAGCCAGGAAGGAGCGGAACCACCATAAAGCAGTGCCCCCAACTCCCAACCCAGCCAGCCTATCCAGAAGGACATCATGGTTGATGGTGTTGAAAGCCGCTGAGAGGTCCAGGAGTATCAACAGGGTCACATTCTCCCTGTCTCTCTCCCGGCAAAAGTCATTGTACGGGGTGACCAAGGCAGTCTCTGTGCCAGAACCCGGCCTGAAACCCGATTGAAATGGATCCAGACCACAACCCAGCCACAACCCTCTCCAACACTTT